ACCTCGTATCAGAGCTCAGATAGAACTCTCCAGCACCTTTGTTTATGACTACAAAATGAGCACGAGCGGCAGTTCTGCGAGGAATTCGCACCTCACCCAGGGGGGACGAACGATGACCATGCCTGTGAACCGAATAACATCACAGTGCAAAATAAAATTATCGCAAAAATACTGCCCGTGAATAAATTTACAACTCTGAAATTTTTGTCACTCCTTCCTTCAATGAATGGGTATTTTTTTTCTTGATTATTATGTTTTGCTCTGCAATACATGTTTATACAGATCGGTTCACAGACATGGGCATCATTGTCATTCGTCCCCCCTGGCTGAGGTGCGAATTCCTCGCAGAGCTGCCGCTCGTGCTCATTTTCTGGTCATAAACAAAGGTGCTGGACAGTTCTATCTGAGCTTCGATACAAGGTAGCTTACAATCCCAATACCTTTTTCCTGAATTGGAAACAACGTACAGCAGGAAAAGCCGTTGAGGATGCATTGCAATACATCAAAATGTATGTAGCAGGAGTTTGAACCAAAACTGCCAAGGGATATTTTAAAAATGTCGAGGAACAAGTCATTCGACGTCAGAGCAAAGTTTGGAGCAATTTATAGTGCTTCTAAAACTGAAAAGTACCTTTTAAAGAATAGCACGATAGGCAATCGGCTTCTGTTTTCAGAATTAGCAAACACTGAATTTACTTGTCCCGAAAATTCAAACTGGTGTCTCCTTCTTCCTGATAGTAATTTATTTTTGAAATTCCAAAACAATTTCACAGCTGAATTTTGAGCGACTTTTAGTTACGGACTTCTGCTCCAACGATTTTTCTGAAATTCCTCTGGCATATTTATTATATCAATTAAAGTCGATACCAGAAATTTGAGTAAAAAATATCAGCAAAATTTTTTACTAGACGCGATTTTCTTTGAACAGTAGGGTCCTTTTAAGCGCTAATTTCTCAAGAAATATTTACCATCAACGAAATCGGAATATTTCGTTTTATTGCGGAATGATATCTGTTGTTTTTTGTAAAGTTTCGCAGCCACCGCGTTAAAATCGAAAAAGTTACGACGGAAAATTTGTCACAGCTAAATGCTCTTGTATTAATTACGGAGCCACCTTAAAGTTAACATATCAAATCGTCAATATAGCTCTGTGGAAAGCGACGTCTAAATTGCTTACAATCTCTAAAATTGAGAATAATGTGGAACTGAAATATACTCTATTTAATAGACCAAGTATCAAACGTATCCATTTTTCATCGCAATGCTTAGAAATAGCTTGAAACCAGGCTTTTTCTACAAGCAGCTTCTTTGAAATTTTAAATCATGGAACAAAAAAAGTACATGAAGATCAGCTTAAAGATGAGTCACAAACATTTGCTTGGTGACTTATCTTTTTTCGTCAAAAAGGTGAAAATTTAAGGGAAAGATAAAGCCTATTTCAAAACGAATGGCCAGTATTCTATTGTTTGTGGGAAAGAAAGAAGGTATAAGGAATTTACATTTTTGACATCACTGATTTCTTTATCTTTTTTACACACTGTAACGTCCATGATCCAGAATGTAACATCCATGACAGTGTTTTGTCATCAAGTAAAGAAGGCACACATCAGAAAAGAAATATTTATCACTTTGTTTTTGTAGTATCACTATTTACCTAAAAAACAATATCATTTGTTCTTAGTTATGCTCGCAGAATTCACAGGAATTTAATGTTTAACATTTGCACTTAAGAACGTGGTTTCTGTGGTTGTGACATCCATGACAGCTAAATTTATTTAAATACAAATTTTTGCATAATAGTAAATTTGATGAGTTTTTCACTTAACGTGCAACTAGCACCCATCTGTCATAAACAAAGTCAAAGGGAATGGTTGGTTGTTATTATGTATCTGTTCTAATGATTTTTCTCTAACCACACTCGTGCAAATGTAACGTCCATGATCATGGAATGACCCAAGTTATACATATCAAATTTTTCCACAAAGTCAGCCATGCGTCTCTACTCTAGTAGATCATATAGTAAATGGCAAAACAAATTGCCGGGTAGATTTTAGGATTACACAGGATAAAGAGTTGACTTTCATCGTATTTGATTCGCGCCAAATGTGTGAAAAGTGTGGTCTTGTTTTGCACATTTCGGCCATCGTACCTTTGATCTGCAAAAGTCTGGATCTGATGCGGCAGTGATGCGGGATCAATAAACTACAAAAGCGGTCTTCACCACCTTTAACATATCAAAGGAATAGCAAAACAGTCTTTACCACCTAAGAGCCTGTGGTTGCCGGCTTTATATTTGGTGAATTGCGCAGTAAACGAAGGCCTGAAGTATTGGCGGAGAATTTTCAAGCAACTTGTTTTGATCAATCTTTTTCGCCTGACAAACTTAGACCTTACGTTTAGCTTCATGCCATATTTTTATGGACGATTTCAGTGTTAATTATAGAACAAGCGCACTTGATCATGCACCATGAAAAATTGCGCTATGTAAGGTTTAAATTGTAATTGTAACATTGTGGAAATTTTTTGTATGGTATGACAAAATAGACGAACAATTCAACAGGAGATCGAAACGGATATCCGATGACTTCCACTTATTTTTCTGTTTATTTATCCTCATTGACTATCCGACCACGCAGAACGCAGACTAAATTTAGTCATCTCGTCTGCTGGTGAAGAATTGCCTAATGATGAGCTGCTGTTTTAAAACTCGAGCACTGCAGTTAGAAGTCATTCGTTATCTGATCGAGTTTGTAAGATGGACAGAACAAGCAGGATGGCCGCCTTTTTGAAGTTTACTGTTTTGGTAAGTACAAGTTAACCCGATAAGCCTCATCATCCGTATGTAAATTCTCCAAACTGATCCCTAAACATTTCCTCAAAGAATTAGTTGGGAGAATTGGATTAAAGATCAAAGTATCTTCTCTTAGGTGATTATTTTGTTAATTATTATCACCCTTTCTTTTACTTCTTCCGTGATATTGTTGGGAGAAAATCTATCTTGGTCACTCTTAAGACTTGAAGGGCTAAACCACGATTAGCTTATTGTTCTAACAAGTAAACTATTTAACATTGTTTTCTACATATAGAAATACACATTATGTAATACGTTTTGTTGATGTTATTATTAAATATATGGCTGTTTCCACAAGTGGACAAGATGAATCGATTTCTATTTTCTGTTTTGCTACTCGAGCGGGCAAGATTGGCCTATTTTACCCGCTGGGGAATACTTGCGTTGTTCCAGCGAAAGATAGTTTTCTTTTGGCCGCACAATAACTCCTTTATTGACCTAACTTGTTCGGTCAAGTTGGCTAGATATTTTTTGGGCTCTTTCTCTTTTTAGCGTTTTTATAGACGTCTACTTAGTCTCTGTCCATTAACATTCAAACAAGTACTCGGTCAATATCTATCGATCTTGACCTCACGCTTGGTCAATAGCGCATGTTTGTTTTTTTACAATGTGGATTGAGCGTAAATGATTTAGAGCAAGTTGTTAAAATAAAATTCTAACCGAGTCATTTTTAATGTGCATGATTTAGAGAAGAAGAAAAATGCGAGTAACGAGAAGGCCTTGTACCGCTTATAACATGCATTGTCGGGAAAAGTGTACGCGACAATCCTTAAAGGCATCGTGGGGGTTTGAGTTCTCTGTTTTTCAAAGAAATTGGAAAGAATTGGCACGAAAGGCCATGGAAATGTGTTTCCGAGTGCTAAAGGAAAGCAACAAAAGTAGGTTCGACAGCTACAGTCGTCAGGAACAGTGTATTGATCATATCCCATATTACCTTTCGGGATTGTCGCGTGCATATTTTTTCCTACAACCTCTCTCGAAATAGCCGTACATACCGCATTCGTTCTGTGTAAAAACCTAATGGGATTGCTGGTTTGCACGTGAGGTCACGGCGGCCATGTTGGTGGTCAAGAACAAAAGCATTTCTTTCCTCTGGGAAAAAAAATTCTATTGTACTGACCCCCAACATGGCCGCCTTGTCACGTGGCTGCAAACCAAGAATTCTGACGTTGTAGTAATATGTAGCCTATATCGTTTGTTTTAAATTTTCACCGGGCTACTCTCGAATACGGAACTGCAGTAATTTCAGCCCAAGGCACAATACTAGCAACGTCCTTTTCCTTTTTATAAGAGAAACTATTTCCGAAATGTTAATGACCAAACAAACACTTAACGAACCGCACGAACTTCATGCTTTTCAGCCTTACGTCAAGGCAGGTCAAGTGTGACCCCAAGATTCTATTAATGAATCGATTGCTTGAAAAGTGAATTCGTTTGTCGTTCCCGTACCTGGTGTCGAATATTTTACGAGAACTTCTCTGTATTTGGTCATGTTGAAAATCTTTAGATGGATAAAATTTCTTCCAAGACATTTACATCAATTTCAGGGAAACTGAGGTAGTAGAAATTTCATAACTGCGTCGTGAATTCACGGCTCATTACGCATGAATGCAGAGATAAATTTGAAATATATAATTACCAACGGATTCAACCTGTGAATAATAAATTCATTAAAAGAATCTTGGGGGTATGCTTGAACTGGCTTAACTGTAAAAGTCATTCGTTCTGCTAAGATGAAAATGAAAATGGCGTCCTCGATCTACCTCCTTTTTACCTGTGTGGTGAGCCGTGGCCGCCGGCAACTTAGATGTGTCGGGTGAAGTATTTTATTTAATGAGTAATTACAGTGAGAACAAATGGAAATTTGTAGCGAATTCATTCTGTGTTTATGACATTCTTCTTTATTTTCCTGCAGGTTTTAATTTTTTCTTCATTTGTCCACTTTGTACACAGTCACCCGACACCATCTACCAAACATGGCGGAATGTCCACCAAATCTATTCATGTACAGCCAACGAAAGAGGCAACGGAAGATCCTGTCAATAGCACCAGGAATCGTAATCAGCACGATCTAAATTTCCTGCGCAAACTGGAACAAAAGGAGCAACAAATCCCTAGCGAGAGGATTAAAAGAAACGCTACTGAGAACATGAAATACGAGCTTGTAAGTTCGACAAGGGGAGCGAACGGTTCTGCCACCAACAGTTCCTCAATAAGAAGCAGAGTGAGTTGCCAAAGCTTCAAAGGAAAAAGAAAGGTGACACATCCATGTGTTAAGAGAATTGTGAAAACCTACCACGCTGCCCTAAATGAAATTGTGACTGAATATAAATGTTGGAAATCTTCGTTCTACTGTCCTCAAACGTCAAGTGGATTGTATCGTTGTGAGCCTGTCATGGAGTTTCATCCGGGTCTTGACAAGACCCTGACTGTTGGATGCAGGTGTAAGCCGTGATTCGAGTTTATAGTTGTAAGAACACTCAGTTATGTAATAACTAGGTACCGTAAAAGATCGATTAAGCGCCGCGGCACCTATTTTATTTTCCCTGTTATAGGTGCGGTGCTAATACGAGAGCGGCGCTTATTTCAACTACGGGTAAAACAGTGAGAGAATTATAGAGAGAATTAAGTGAGGCGCGTACTAGGTATGTACAATTTAATAAAAAATATGTACACATCGAACATATATTATATGAACCCAGTTTCAAGAGACTTTCCAACTCACGAGTTGGTGGAGGTCTTGTTTCTCAAGCAGTATGGTTTTGATTTCTCTTTTTATTGTATAGTTAGTGATGAAATACCAGGATTTTTCCTTTTACTAAAAAATCATATCTTCATCGCGCGCAGTGAAGATACCATGTTTATCTTTCACGTGTAAGGATTTTAGTGTCGCCATGGTTACTAATATGATTTGAATTTGATTTTTGATTTTGAAACAGAAAATATAAGTATTGTCTTTATTTCTCCTTTACAACTTTATATCCGAGTTTCATAACATTTTCGTGACAGGCATTTTGCGATAGGTCACCACTTTAATTGCACTATTTTGCTGTTTCGAAAATGAATTTTTAAAAAAGTTGTGTTTTATGTAGGAATTTCATCAGTATCTATAAAATAAACAGAACATTACATGGCCGCTTGGGGATACGAATTTTATCTTCTCGTGCTGAAAGTATCTGTCACTCGTTCGCTTCGCTCACTTGTGAGAGATACTTTCAGCACGAGAAGATAAAAATCGTATCCCCGCGCGGCCATGTAATATGCTCTATATATCAAGCGCGGTTACAAAGTTAGGGCGTTAATTTGTAAATACCGTATTTATTCGATTAACCGCCCTGGGCGCTTATTAAATTTTTGGACCTTGAGAGTGGGCGCTTATTCGAGGCTGGGCGCTTATTGAATTTTCACCATTTTCAGAAAGTGAAGTATGTTTATTTTGCAACAAAACAATAAATGCTAATGACAAAACGCGAAGAAGTAACAAAGCAAGGTTTCTGTAAAATACTCTGAAGAAAACTCCGTTCTCTGGGAAGTCTCTTATTAGAATTTATTCACTCAAGTGGGTGGGGTGGGGGTGAACGTTTATTTGAGTTTGATTGAGAAGGGGAGAGGGTGGGCGCTTATTCGAGGCTGGGCGCTTATTAACTTTTTCAACCTTTAGGATGGGCGTTTATTCGAGGTGGGTGCTAATTCGAGGTTGGGCGCTTATTCGAATAAATACGGTACCCAGATTAGCGCCGCAGCACATATTCGAGAGCGGCGCTTATGAAATTATTTTCGGTACAGGTGCGGCGCTTATTCGAGAAGCGGCGCTTTATCGATCGTTTACGGTATAGTACAGGATTATCTGCAAATGTAAATGTCGGCCTAGCCTCTCCACAGACGTTTTTTATTTTAAAACCTCTACCGCCACCAACACTTCAAACCTTGCGCTTGCGGTAAATAAATCCCCCTTTTTTTTTTTTTCTACGCGCACTCAACGATCTCGAAAAAGAAAATAGACTGTCTGTGAGCTGGCTTATACGAGCCTCAATCGTTTCATGTAAGAACACTTTAGAAAGATGCGATCGCAGTCACTTTTTTGGCACTTCAATTGCAAATGTACGCCACAGGCCTGTAAGGCTGCGTGCAAACGGACGCAACATTGTTGACCAACATTGTTGGATGTTACATGTTGCGTCCGTTTGCACATCCTGTTGCATGTTGTTGGATGTTAAGCGTTGTTGCGTGTTGTTGCGCAAAGTTTGAAACCGGTCAAACTTTTAACCCCGTGCAAACGGACGCAACATTGTTGGCTTACAACTCTCCAACATTGTGGAAGCCGTCAGCAGCTTTATGGTTGTAAGTTTAAAGGCGGACATGTAATGTTTCCACTTTAACTTTTTAAGTTTCCCTAGTCTTGATTCGGGAATCAATCACCAGCTCAATTCCCCTAACTATGGATGTAGAGTTAGTTTGAATTAATACATGGTGCAACTGAGACTCTTCAAGAAAAGTAGATGTTTTTATTGGAATGTTTACTTAAAAAATCTCGAAATTTAGAACCAACTTGAATGTAAATTGCTCAACATCTTGCGGTTATTGCTCAGACTCAAAAGCTTAAACCAATTTAGGGAGCGTCGATAGACATTGCCATAGTGAAAGTGAATAATGATTAGTTTCCGTCCAGTTTTATATTTTCTTGATGGCCTTTTTCAGGCTCCAAGATGGTAATGTGCAGTTCGCGCGGGTCTTATTTTCCCTGGTTTGTCAGTATTTTCGCCTACTATCTGAGAGCCTGGCAAAGGCTAGTGCGACTGCTAATTTGCTAGTAACCAAAGTTTTAAATAAGATAACATATAGGCCCTCCCTTACAGAAGGCAATTTAAGGGAAAATTTGTGTTGCAGAATTCTTTTAACCCCGCTCCACTTGATTTGTTTGAACCAGCGGAGCGGGGTCAATTTATAACCAAAGTCGTCTTTTCATTTCCTCCTTTCCAGGTAATTCAAGGAGTTTCATTTTTGCAATGCAAATGTTATGCAGAAATGCACAACAATAAAACCCATCGACCGCGCGATTAACTTAAGACATAATACATGACATAATCTCTATGAAAGACCTACCAGTTTCGATGTAATCTTCCGGATCGCAGTCGATTGCCTCAATGTTTTTAGGACGATCAAGACTATCCGACCTACTTTATGCGAACTAAAGTCTATGTAGACCTCGATTCTAATGTATCCAGTCGATTGCGATCGCCGCAATTATACGGATTGTCCCGCATTCATAGTTGTTGCTGTTGTTTTATCTTGACGCTTTGCACAGCAAGAACTCTAGTAGTAAGATCAAATTTCGAATTATTCCTCTGAAACTTAGGGCGCTTTTCATTTACCAACAGACTCCGATACCAGTTTCAGGCGTTCGGGGCCATTTTTCGGTATCAAAGAGGAACTGATTTGTGCAAATGATAAACGCGATTCCGGGAAGAAATTTGTCAGCCCTGAATTTTGCTTTCCATTTGCTCAAACCGTGAACCGACCAGTTTTTTCAATGGAAAGCGCCCTAAAAAAACTTTTTCCTGTACCTTCTAGACCGCTTTCATTCCCCTTATCGGTGTGATTGTCGAGATTGACGGCCGCTGTTTTATGGTGAGCAAATGGCACTCTTTTGTAAGTTTTCGCTTACCATAAGAAACAACGCCTAGTAGCGCTCTCCAACTCGCTGATAGACCTCGAAATAGAGGACTGTGAACAGTTTGTGTACCATCTTAATTCTTTCTGTTTACCTTTTCAGGTACTTTGACAGAGGAATACACGGCTGGATGACAAGGTTTGGCTTGACTTATGTTTAAATCCTTGTGGTCAGCGTCACGGGTCAAGGTCCTAGCCAAAAGACTAGTAGTTCTGAGTTCTGGGGACGAGAATGAATTTAACTCTGTAGTGGCTCAGCGGATGCTTAGGGGGAGTGGGTGGGGGTCTCGTCACAAGTTCACGAACGACAATTTTGCGTTTCACGAGTCAACAAACAAATAGTGTATTGATCTCGGCCACCTGTATGGGTGATCTCTGCGTGGCTTTAAATTTCCTAGGAAAGCCAGCTGTAGGTGGGTCTGAAAGCACTGAAGTTACATTAAACTGAAACCCTCAAAAGTGAAGTTAAATCAAGCCGCCAGATGGTTCTTTTGGCCAAATTAATGATTTAATTTCTTCAATTCATCTTCAATGTACGTGTACAGTATAGAGAATTTTGGCAGTTCACGTTTCATGGAGTGCACCTCAATCACGATTCACAGAGCAGTTTCTCAGTACATCACGATTCACGGACACCAAAAATGGTCGATCACGGCTTCACGAAAATAAGCTTGCCCCCTCTGCTCTGTGTAGTTTAAAGCAAAATCGCTAAGGGTTGCCACACTCAGGGTAATGTCATAAAAAGACCTTTTCTGCGAGGTCAGGAAAAAGACCGTTTTTTGGAAATCTCACGTTAAACTCAGTTTCTCCTAATACAAAGGTTGTCAAAAGTCAGAATTTTATTTTCGGATTGCCACAAGATTTCGTAACATAGTAAACATATTTTCATCCGAAAATAATCTTATTTGACTAGTCTATTTTGATAATCCAAATCCTGCCAAAAAGCTAGATTTCGATGAAAAATTGTTCACAGGTCAACAAAAAATCAGCCTCTTTTTGGCTTCAGATCAGACTGCAAACTAGTCCGTCTTTTTGCGTGGGTCAAGAACGCACGTGCGAGACTTAAACATCGGCGCTTTGCGCCGTGAAAAACCAATTTTGAAAAAAACTCGACTGTTTTGCAGTCTAAGATAGTACGCTAGCAAGCTCCATGCGAGGACCAGGATAGCCTGTTCAGCTCGCGTACTAACCTAGAAATAAAATATCTTTTTATTGGTTTTAGGTATATCTACATTCCCATGGGAGGGTCCCGCAAGGGCGTCATTCGTCAGCTCACCGGCTCGTTTCTATCGTTTGCGTTTATATGGCAGTGGCATGGAGGTCACCTGTACGCGCTTTGGTGGTTCATTCCTAATTGGCTTGGTGTAGTGGTAGAGAGCGCAGCAGGAAAGGTGTTGGCGCAGCCGTCTGTAAAGCGTATGGAGGTTGGTGTTAGGGACCGGTCATTATTTATCGTCTGGGGGTGGACGAGAATGAATTTAACTCTGTAGTGGCTCAGCGGATGCTTAGGGGGAGTGGGTGGGGGTCTCGTCACAAGTTCACGAACGACAATTTTGCGTTTCACGAGTCAACAAACAAATAGTGTATTTGATCTCGGCCACCTGTATGGGTGATCTCTGCGTGGCTTTAAATTCCCTAGGAAAGCCAGCTGTAAGTGGGTCTGAAAGCACTGAAGTTACATTAAACTGAAAGACTCAAAAGTGAAGTTAAATCACGCGCGCTGCCAGATGGCTCTTTTGGCCAAATTAATGATTTAATTTCTTCAATTCATCTTCAATGAACGTGTACAGTATAGAGAATTTTGGCAGTTCACGTTTCACGGAGTGCACCTGAATCACGATTCACCGAACAGTTTCTCAGTACATCACGATTCACGGACACCAAAAATGGTCGATCACGGCTTCACCAAAATAAGCTCGCCCCCCTCTGCTCTGTGTAGTTTAAAGCAAAATCGCTAAGGGTTGCCACACTCAGGGTAATGTCATAAAAAGACCTTTTCTGCGAGGTCAGGAAAAATACCGTTTTTTTGGAAATTTCAGGTTAAACTCAGTTTCTCCTAATACAAAGGTTGTCAAAAGTCAGAATTTTATTTTCGGATTGCCACAAGATTTCGTAAGATAATAAAAATCATTTTCATCCGAAAATAATCTTATGTGACTAATCTATTTTGATGATCCAAATCCTGCCAAAAAGCTAGATTTCGATGAAAAATTGTTCACAGGTCAACAAAAAATTAGCCTCTTTTTGGCTTCAGATCAGACTGCAAACTAGTCCGTCTTTTTGCGTGGGTCAAGATCGCACGTGCGAGACTTAAACACCGGCGCTTTGCGCCTTGAAAAACCAATTTTGAAAAAAAAACACGACTGTTTTGCAGTCTAAGATAGTAGTGCCTCAATTATCATCCACTGTCGATTCACGCTAGCAAGCTCCGGCCATGCAAGGACCAGGCTAGCCTGTTCTAGGCATCCAGTTAGCGGATTGCAGCGCAAAGTCAGGAGATCGAGAAAAAACTAAGAGAAATAAGAGGGAAGAGTGGGAGAGTGACAGAGGAAGGAATTTCCTTCGCTTTCACCTCCTGCCCCACTTCCTCGTAGCTTTGCTTGCTTACATCTCTTTGCGTCGTCCGCGCAATCTGATCACCTGGAACAGGCTAGGATTGGGCCGTGTTCCAACTCTTACCCGTACAATGAAATACAGTCCAATTGATTGACCAATCCCAGCTCGCGTACTAACCCAGAAATAAAATATCTTTTTATTGGTTTTAGGTATATCTACATTCCCATGGGAGGGTCCCGTAAGGGCGTCATTCGTCAGCTCACCGGCTCGTTTCTATCGTTTGCGTTTATATGGCAGTGGCATGGAGGTCACCTGTACGCGCTGTGGTGGTTCATTCCTAATTGGCTTGGTGTAGTGGTAGAGAGCGCAGCAGGAAAGGTGTTGGCGCAGCCGTCTGTAAGGCGTATGGAGGTTTGTGTTAGGGACCGGTCATTATTTATCGTCTGGGGGGGGGGGGGGGGGGGGGGGGGGGGGG